CAATTTATCTAAATTGGTAGACATTGTGAGTTCACATGAATGTCACCTTTGTTTGGCGTCTTGCTATATATTTGATCTTATTATTTTGTGTGTACTTTTTAGATATTGGACCAGATGCAAAGGAAACTGGTATCTACAGGAGGCACTTCGCTCAGGATGGACCAAGCTTTCCAGTGCAAGCCCACATCAAGAATGGACTCGTCCTTGAACTGCACAGCTACATCCAAACAGAACTATCATTGAATTTGTTAGTATACTAAAACTAAAATCACAGGTGTGGTAGGAGTCAAAGTTCTGTGATATGAAAGTGACAGTTGGCATTGCACCCAAAGGGCTGTAAAAATCCACAACTCTCTTTACTTACTGCAGATATTTGCAGAATTGCCTTAAGGTTGACTTTTGCCAATTTTTTCTCAAATTAAAGGTAATTAATATGCAAATCATTTTCACTTAATTGAACTTTCATCTGTAGTTTCTGAGGAGTACAGGGTATGTCAAATACATTAGGAGTATACCGTACATGTACATGTGGCATTGATCCTCAAAAATCCCAATAATTGGTGCTGTACTGTTAAAAAAAACGAATAAGTATTTATCCAAATTGGTCAATTTTACGCATTGCATATTAATTAATTAGAAAATGGCTTTATTTAAGATAAGACAAACAGTAATGTTTACCAACATACATGTACCTGTAACCACCACATCAGAAATTCAATCAAAGTCTACAGCTGCCAGGAGTCAGGACATCTTGTAACTTATTATAATTATTCTTTACTTTTGTTATCTTGATTGACAGGCTTCTTGTTGGAGTGTACTTGAAAGGCCACTTATACACACTGTGTTGGTTTGGGGTTTCAGGTTTTAGTTTTTTGATTCAAGTCTTTTAAGTCATTTAGTCCTTTTGGTTTTTTTGGCATTTTTCCCATACCTTTTCATTAATAAATTCTTTTAAAGTCAAATATTGATGTCTGAGTCCATATTAATTCAGTTTCCTGCGACTTTTCCTTCAAAGATCCTTAGTTTAGTTGGAGTTGTTTTGCGAGTTTCCCTATAGTGTGCCATTTTTCCCTGTTACAACCGCATGGGTGATTTTGCAGTATGGTAGAATGGCATTCTGGGAAGGAAAGGGGGCAATGTTTGCTCCTTTTTCCTTCCCACACTGCCTTTCTACCATTGTGCAAAATCACGTGTGGTATCAGCAATAAGGCTTATTGCCAAAAAGAAAAGTTTTGCAGAGGTCAGTGACTTCAGAGCAACTATAAAACATGTTTCCATCAGGATCAACACTTGATAGTTCTGTAAATCATGGATCTATGCCTATCAATCATCCAACAAAACTGCCTTGTGCTTCACCTAGATCAACTCACGAGAAGACATTTGAGCGAAGGAAATACGTGTACTTACCTGACCTACCTGATTAACCATGCACCTGTCTGTCAGTGTGAAACCTAACTTGTATCTGTATGATGCAGCTCGCCGTGTTGATTCAGGAATGCAGGCACTAGCGAAGGAACCGCCTGTGTAATGGTACACTGTACTGAAGTGCACTGTACAATGTGCCCGGCATTATACACACACCGACATTCCGCGGAAATCAATCATGTCAAATTTGGGTTTGTTTTCCCTCCAGTCCAGGTCTTACATTATCAGCACAACCATGGAGGTAGGAAAAGATGAAATCAGATCAAGCCGAATAATTATCTTCCAGCCATGCCAGTAACGAAATCAGGTAACGGAGCTCAGCCTAGCGTGGAGGTAAGAAAGTCAGACGTACATGTACGATGATCACTCTCTCTCGACCAGATCCCCGTATTATACTTTTCTGAGGAACAAGGTCATGAAGGAAGGCCTACATGTATGTACTGTACATACATAAAAATATGACTGTCACAAAAGGTCCTGGCGTGCGATAAGATCGGACCGAGGGCTCACTACTACTGGTAGTTCCGCATTCTTGCACATATGTACATGTACATATTACATGTACTGTACTGTGCTGTACATATACTGTACATGTACAAGTACGTGTACGTACATGTACGTGTACAGTACATGTACAGTACACTGCATGCCCCGGCGGACCTACGGCCACGTGTGCACAGCGCTGTCCGGTTTCTTCCAGGGCCACTCCCCTACTACCACATTATGAATAATGCAATACTTTTCTGCCTGGTGTGGGTGTTTCCTCCGCAAAAGTTACATATTTATAAAAAAATATTTTCTGGAACCCCACCCCCTCTAAACGTTTATGAATGATGGAACAGAAAGTTCGCCACATATTCCACCTGCAAATGGCCGTAACCACACGTATTGAATCTTAAAGACGTCTTGATGTAACAGCCGGACAAAAGGGAATTGGTTTTAGAGACGAAGGAGGATAGGGGTAAATTCAAAATTGAATACGAATTCGGGCTTAATGAAGAAAATCAAACGGGTTAATAAAAAACTCGTAGGGGAAACAGCGCCTTCAGTTTTCCAGAGGAGCATGGACTTTCAAAGAAATGGGTGCACTATTCAATGCGTTTCCCCTCCTTCCTCCATGGTTTGACCAAACAGGAGTTTGAAATACTTTTTATTTGAACATAAAAACTGTGCCTAAGAAAAGTAATTGCAGCTACACTTTTATGACTTAAGATCTATATCCATGCATTAAATGCACTTTGATTTAGGAGGAAAAATAAATGACAGGTCTACTGAATTAGGGCAGATTGTGGGGTTGCCAAAATGTTAAACAAAAATGTTAAACCAATATAATTTCTTTTATTAAATTCTCTTTGTTGTTGGAAAACTGATTCTTTAGAGTCTAAGGCAACATCACAAATATAAGTAAATGAGGGTAGGAAAATTAGGACATGTTCAGTTTTAGGGGGAGAGGAAACTCCTGGACAAATAATATTAGTAAACCCCAAAAATCGGGTAAGGATTGAATACACAGTCCACACACTGTCCTCCGGGAATTAATCCTTGGTCACACAGGTGACAAGCACGACAAGTATCATTGTAGCATCCCGACTCCACAGTCTGCAAAGAACTTGGAATCATATTTATTTCGACAGAGTCTGCAACTGCAGGCGGATTTTTCAGATCCTAACTGGACGTGCAAACAACGTCCAAAACATATCACTCCTTTCAGGTTTCAGATGCTCAACATTAAATTCTAAAGTTGGGTCGGGGTCAAGTCATTTTCCATTCAAAGGCTATGGTTTAGTTTGTAAGTAAAATTTCGAGGTGTGGAAAGCAGCGTCCTGGATCCGGAGATGTTGCGCTTTCAAAAATAATTCAGCCAATGCTGTTTCAACAGGAACAATGATAACACTGTTTGAAATTCAAATGTAAACAAGATTGTTCAAATATAAAATCTATTTTAAACAATGTTGTTTATAAGCCTTACTCAAGTAGCAAAATGAATTATGTTTCAACTTATTATTTAACAGCGCAGCTATTCTGGGCTTAATGCAGCATTTCAAATTTGTTTTTTCCATTTCAAATTGTTTATATGAAACGGTTTCAGAGTGAGTCTGTCCACTCAAAGCTTTTGTTTCTGTTTTGCTTGGTTTAATACGAAATCAGTTTTACTCCACTGAGAAATGGCGATCGCATCTATGTGAAAAAATGTAGTGATAGCGAATGACAATCCACTGAACCCTGCCTCATTTGAATGGTGGATGTGCATCAGCTGACTGAATGACGGCAAAATTTCCTATCAGATTTCAAACTGAACTCGTCGAATTCATAATACAAACCAAGACTTCAATTTCAGTTTAGAAAAACTGCACAACCCCTCTCAAGTTTGGGCTTCAGAACCTATTGTGTAACACGTTTTCTCGATTTTTGGGGGAGGGGGTGCTGCTAGGTCGAAACGGAGGAAAGTGGTCGTCAAGGCTCTGACAGAGTATGGCAGATGATGATGCTGATAATACACGATGATTTTTCGGGCGGATACAAGGACTGTCAAGACAATTATGTAGCAGTTTGAACAATACAGGGCTCACTGTATACATGTAGATAGGCATGAAGATGGAAAAAGTGCCATTTTCTCCTTTTCCATTTTCTTTTCCAATTCTCATTATTTTATCGTCAATTTCTGAAACGAATTAAGGTGGTGTCTTATTAAAACAATTTTGTTCCACCCGACAACTGAATTACCGTGACGATTTAAGCAGAATGGGTTAAAATACAATTTAGTTTTGTATGATCATTTTTGTTAAACTGTTTATAAGATAAGTTAAATTTTCAAATAACAATACTGACTGGTAAAATTACAAATACACGACAAAAGGCCGACCACATCTTTTGAAGGGTTGTGCGCGAAACTCCTCCTGTATGCACCGTTACAATTAGTGCTGATAGTGCTCTCTACAAAATCTCACTCTAAAGTTTATCCCTTTCAGCATGGGATATGTTGATTTTTTTTTTGATTAACGAGGAGTGTACTGTTCAGGAATATACTTAACAGTTTGGCAACCCCTCGATCTGCCCTAATTCAGGAGGCCTGTCATTTATTTTTCCTCCTAAATCAAAGTACACTTAGTGCATGAATTTAGATTTTAGGTTTTATATTGTAGCTGCAATTACTTTTCTTAGGCACAATTTTCATACAATTTTATGCTCTTATTCAACAAATCAAAAGTATTTCAAACTCCTGTTTGGTCAAACGCGGTGAAAAGTGCACTTATTGAAAGTCCCGTGCTTTTGTTGACACCTGAGGGCGCTGTTTCCCCCAATTTTTTTAAGGCGTTTAATTTTTTTCTCCCTTCATTCATTAAGCCCGAATTCGCGTTCGATTTTGAATCTACTTTTCCTTCTTCGTCTCTAAAATCGTTTTATTTTTGTCCGGCTATATACCCAGACGTTTTTCAGATTAAATGCACGTTTTCAAAGAAGAAGCGACCATTTGCAGGTATGTGGCGAACTTTCTGTTACATTATTTATAGCCTATTTAGAGGGCGTGGTTCCAGACAAGTTATTGCATTATTCATAAACTCGGTGGTAGGAAGTGGTCGGGGAAGAAACCAGAAGTACCGTACACGCGTGACCGAAGCTCCCCGAGCGTAATGTACCGTACATTCGTGAAGTCATGCTTTTACTCATGTTAGGCCTACACCTTCATGACCTCGTTTCCCTGAAAAGTACTTTCCAGGGGGATCTGGTCATGCTGGTCGAGGGTGATCATCGTGCGTCTGTTTATCTACATGGCTGTACATATGCATGTACAGAATGGAGAACTACCAGAAGTAGTGAGCCCTGGGCCTCGGCACGGGTACGGTCGGCATTGTATGGCACACCACGGCCCTTCGTGAAGTCATATCATGTACTGTTGTTAGGCCTACACCTTCATGACCCTTGTTTCCCAGAAAAGTACACTGCAAGGGGGGATCTGGTCGAGAGGGCATCGTGCGTTTGATTTTCTTACTTCCATGCTTCCAGGATCCACGTCAGACAGACATGACTGAGCTGAGCTCCGTTACCTGATTTCGTTACTGGGAAAAAATCATTCAGCTTGATCGGATCGTGGTTTAATAGTTATACATCATAGACCCGGAATCCAAATTTGACATGGTTGATTTCCGCCGAATGTCGGCGTAGTGTGTACATGTACATGTACAAGGAGACACACGTTGTACAGCGCACTTCAGTATGACTATAGCCTAGGGTGTTCCTTCGTTTGTGCCTACATTCTGATCAACACGGCCAGCTGCAGGTATCGGCTGATCATACATGTTACTTCACACTGACAGACTGGTGCATGGTTAATCAGGTAAAGTCAGGTAAGTACATGCATTTCCTTGGCTCAGATGTCTTCTCGTGAGTCAGTGTACAAGCTGACTTACTTTTGAAGCCTTAGCTTGCACGGTACATGTAAGTTAGTCACCTTGGAGGAATGCTGTCATCTTGGTGGAGCACAAGGCAGTTTGGTTGGATGATTAATTTGATTCATTTTTTAGAGAACTATCAAATGTTGATGGAAACCAGTTTTACAGTTGCTCTTAAAGCAGCTATCAATTGTATGATGGACCTCTAGACCCCCGGGGCTGAAGCGTCATGTTTACAAATGGTGGGTCAGCCCGTGATGGTGGGGAAAGTATGATTTTGATGCATCAGAGAAAGGCTGAGGTTGTGTATAGGGTGCGTCAATGTAGAGTGAAGGGACTGTCAAACAATACGTCTGATCTATAAATGTGCAAACTTGATACATTATACATGTCATACGGAGATCAAATGCTCCAGGAAATCAACCAAAAATTCAGCACTATTTTAAGTTTTGCGATAGGCCTACAATATTACTTTAAAAACTTACGATTTCGCACACTGTAGAGAATGAATGTTAACAACCAAATCTAGCCTTACCCCCAGAAGTTTGGGGCCTGACGTCCGTTACGCATCCACGAACCCTGCAGAACAAAATTTGTTTGACACCCTCCGTTTTCTCGGTTGTGTACCACAGTTTCGTGGATTCATTTCTGCCCCCCCACAGTTCTATGTACTGTATGGTAGCTTACATACTTTCAAGTTATGTACGAAGAAAAAATCCAGCCCAAATTGTGCTGTTTGTCCAAAATCATACAAGTAATTCCCGTTCTGTGTCCAGAATCACTTGGTTCATTTGTGTTCTTGTGAAGACAAGCTGCGACCAAATGGTTGATTACAGCTGCATCGATACACAAGACATGGGAATTGGCTGCAGCAGCTTTCCGTATGTGTGTGTCATTCTTAGCCGTGACTGGACCGACTGCTTGAAATGGCAGTTGGCTGCGACACGATGCAATCACAGGGCTTTTCATTATTTATGCCGAGAGGTAGGAATGTCAAGCTAGACCTCAGTGCATGCACAACAGGTAGAGTACCGATCTCACACAAACCTTGGCCCCACTCTACCGTTGACACGAGGGACATGACACTCGGAGACAAGAAGTTGGTAGACTCCCTACATGCACCAGAACATACTCTGACTCAGATCAGAGCAACGGCTTTGTCATATCATTGTATGGAGGGACAGTTGAATCTTAAGAACATACATGTACATGTATCATGAAATTATGTTCTTTTCAGATTCACAACTGATTCACGGACAAGAGGTTGGATTATTCCCTCGAGAAAAACTCAAACACTAATGAACAGTTTTACTGACAAAAAGTTGAATTTTTGCTAATTACACTTCACAAAACATTGACTTGTTCTTTTCCCATTCAGATTCTTAACAGGAGAACCTAAGATCATTGAGCAGAAATCCAAAGATGTGTTCAAATCAGCAGGTTATTTTTTCACCCTTATCCACTGAACATGAAATTCTTGCTTTCTGGTCACAAACAATACATGCACTGTTCCAAAACGGCAAGTAACATTTGACTTTCTAGATGAAATACACGTACATTAAGTATTATTTCCGCCAGGTCAGACAGTGGAACTATACGTACATTGTACATTTTAACCTCCAACGATAGTTTGACAGCAATTGAACTTTAATTACCACAAAAAGTAAAAAGTCACTGTTTCTTTTGGATATGAATTTATAAACAGTACATGAAGGAGTGTGTCCCCAAAAACCTCAAGAAAAGCTGCTTTCTGGAAGCCTTCGAATAGTCAAGGCGAATGTGGCGAAAATGAGTTGGCCCATGTGTTGAAAACAATCATGAACGTGTGCAGCTTACATAATGCTCCAACACGGTGAGCCGTTTGTGGCAGCAAGGCAGTTCACTCACGCTGGTCTCTCTTTTAGCATTATGTAAGCTGTGCGCGTACACATAGACGACCCTTCTCGTTACAAATGCCTTCACTTGGCCAAAGGCTGGCTTTGTGGTTGAATTAGGTTTTCTTAGCGATAAGGTGGGAAAATAGTATCTTAACATTATCCCTTTTTTCTGGTTTTCAAATGCACACATTTTTGATAGACTGTGAAGTGCTTATTGCGTGCAAATTAAATCCAAGAGAAAAGTACTGAGATTGGTGAAAATGAAGGCTAATTGTTTCAAAATTGTCAATTTCTGCTAGGAAAGTCATTTGAACATAAAAAGTTCTAGCTCAAACATTAAAAGAAATAATCTGAGTACTAAATCAATACATTGGCACCGATAGGAAAACCATCTCCAGACAAGTAGCTTGTATTTGTGTGTAAATAAAAGTTAGAGAAATAAGATCACCAACGTACTTATGTATTGCAATTCCAGAAGGGCCTCGTCTCTGCAAAATTGTGCTGTATCATCAAAAATGACTCACTCCTTTCAATATGAGAACAGTATTTTAAACCTGAAAGGATTCAAAATTTTGAAGATCTGAAAAGTGTCTCAGCGACTAATTACCCTGACAGAATTGTTCTGTCGCTTTTGTCATTGTACACATACATGTACATCACACGTGTATGAAACAATCACAAATTGGTTGTTATTAAACACTGTAGTTCAACAAAGGACTTAGAATAAAAATAAATAGATTACCGGTATGTTTCACAGGCACTTCTGGCATATGGCAAGGGATAGTGTGAAATAATATTGAGTTATAAATTGTACATGTACAAGCAATTATTGCATAAAAGACTGCCATGTACATGTATTTCTTAATAAACTACATGTACCTGGGCATAAAAATTTACGACCAATAAATGTTTTTTTTCCCTGAGATGCATTTTTTAAAATTAACATGTACACATCATAAAATGCCCACACATTTCTTGCCAAGATCTGAAGTATCTCAGATGCAATTAACGTGACAAAATTGTTCTTGAGCTTTGTTCATTTTACGAGTACATCACACATGCATGAAAAAAACCCAAAAAACTGGTCCTTTAACACAATGAATTCACCAAAGGACTTAGAATAAAAATAAATAGATTATGTTTGGCAACTATGCACTTGTTGTGGCATACGGCAAGGGATAGTGTAAACTAATAATTTACACATGCAATGATTGCCAAATTATTGCCATGTACTTTTAAAAACCAATGAATGTTTCAACTAATGACCAAAAATAAGGTACAACTACAAGTACATTTGAACAAACACAAGTACCGAAACAAACCACAAACGTAAGCGCATATAATGCAAGAAACTGCTTGCTTAAAGCACCATCAATAAATTGAGTGACAAGCCTGTTAAAATAAACAGCTCAACATGAACCTTGCACAAATATACATGTGTATACAAGTGTACATGTACATTTGCACATGTATATTTATACATGTGCAAATGTACATGTACACATGTGTAAATATGCATTTAAACATGCACATTTGGCGCATGTGCTTTGTTTGTATGCACTTGTCGGTAGTGCTAACACATACATTTACACAAAGCTTATGTGCTAAATGTGCATGTTTATATGCATATTTTCACATGTGCATACACGTGTATAAATGATTCAAGAACTATACATGACTCAAAAACTGTAAAAAAAAACTCTATTTCATTTCAATCCATGACGGTCAGGTCCAAAAGCATACATGTAATTTACATGGATTGACCCAAATGCCACGGAGTGCCAGAGGTCATTTTAGTTTTGAATTATTTTGTCTACTTGTACATGTACGGGGCACTACCGTCAATTACCATACCTACACATTGGGCAAAGCCATTTCCCCTTTGGAATTCGGTGCAAATTTACACAACCAAAATGGAACCACCTAATTTGGCACTGCTTGTTGTCGCACAAGACCATCTGCCCATACATTTCTTCCTTGCAAATGCAGAATACATCTTGTTCAAGATCAGGTACGGGTGCCTCTCAGCAATTCGGACAATACCAGGACCCTTTTGGCTTCCGAATGATGTTGACATATTGAAAATAGAACCATTGCTGCTTGCATGCTACGTTATCACGGAGTACCATCTTTCCGAATCTACCACTGCAAATAAAATGAAGTACACATACAAGTTCAGTGCAAAACTCTGCATTACATTCCCATTAGCAGTCATTCAAGAATTACCACCTGCAAAGCATTTCACAGACATACAATGTATACAAAATGAATCTTTAATTGAATGCAAAGAAATTTGTAAAATCTCTGGGAAGAATTCGTGGTCAATTAATGAAAGATCTTATCATATTCAATGGCACCAAAGGCTGAACCAATGATCAAGTTTAAAGACCACCCCTAATAGACACAGCGTAGACACAGCGTACTTATTCTCAGACTGAAATAAATCATCGTGCACACACGCCTCAGTTTGTCTTCTGGCCACTCTTTGATTTATTTCCAAGAACTCTTCGAATATTGCCAGAAACCAGAAGTTTTTTGGGCAAACTGGCAACAAAATTGCATTTTCATTGGGCACACCAGACCCAGCCATGAAATAGGGCACACCAGGCCCACCCAAAACACAGCCCCTTAGACCGTGTTAATATTCAGGGCACACTAGACCCTGCTACAAGTATGGCTTACCAGACCATCATGTGTGTAATTAGGGCGCACCAGGCCCACCGTAAATATGGCACATTACGCCATCAAAGTTAGGCCACACCTGGTCCACCATTATACAACTCTAAGCATGGCACTTTAATCCATGTTAATGTAACACATGTATAAGACACCTGGCTCACCATAAATACTGAATAACAACCGGGCACACCAAGAGTCATGTTACCACCAATTAATTAATAACCTTGTAGTGAAAACACTAAACTTGAATTATTAAATCTGCAGGCACCCAATGTTCCCCCGTTGGAGACTTGTGGGAGGAATGGCCCACGGTGAACATCCATGGAGCCAATCGAGTGCCTGTCACAAAACATCGAGATTACAGCTATAGTGCCTCCATTTTATGCTCTAGCAGCTGTAACTGGTAAAATAACTTTATTGGCCATTATAATAGATCATTTCTTGACTGTGTCTGTCAAAATTCCTGCCAAAAACTGCTTCAAAGTGCTTCAAAGTTTCATTTACACAATAACATGTTACTTAACACAAGATGGAGATGGGACGGAGGCGGGTAAACAAAAGTTTGGAAGTTGCGCTGTCTATTAAATCTTTACCCTATAAAAGCTTTGACAAAACTGACCTTAAATTACATTCCCTACATCCATCAAGACATACCTCCCATCAAGAAGATGTCCCATTGGTTAAAAGTTTTGTCACAGAAGTTCCCTTATTGGGCTAAATTCTCTAATGTAATTGGCTGACACATTATGCGAATCATTCAGTGGAGCCTTTTTTTTTAAATTCTGTGTTTTCTACAAATTTTCTGAAGACATTTTGATCAAGATACTTCCTTCCAATTCTACACATACCTGCAGATAAAGAAAGCTGGTAAAAAGCACCACCTAATAGTTCAAGTACTGTTCTGGCCTACATAAAAGTGTAGCCGGACAGGGGTGGTAACTTAATTTCAACTGGAAAGTTCAACCGAAGAACAAAGAAGAATTATGGCCGAAGGTCAGGCTCCATTATCCACACTGACTTTATTCATGGAGGAAGGAAAACAGAAGGAGAGAGCACAAATTGACTTCAAAGGGACAGTGATGGTCGCCGCGGTCGTAAAAACAGCGGTGGTTGCTCCCACTGAGCTTCTTATGTAAACACCTCCCTAATTCAATTTTCGCACGGTCGAGCAGCTTTCGCTAGGAATCATGGGAAGGATTTTGCCTTATCAGTTGCGCGCATACGTATATATCTAGGAATACTACATCCAACATGGCTGCCTACGGACCGGAAGACTTTGTTTACGGTGATTTTGATTTTGAAGGTTTGAGTGATTTTTCCGATATATCGGAGGACAAAATTGATTCCGTGGAGAATGTCATTACTGACGACGAGGAGGAGGATGATGGTCGTAAGTTTAGCTTTTGCAAAGGGTTACCAACAAAAGAAATGATCGCATGTGAAGGAACAAACTGCAACGTGGAGTGGTTCCACTATGCGTGCGTCGGCCTCACCGCGGCAACAATACCAGATGGCAGCTGGTTTTGCGAAAGCTGTCGGCCTAGTATATTGTTGTCATTGAAACCGAAAGACAAAGGTGAGTGTTAAGCGTTTTTAGTGGGTTAATTTTTCAATCACAGCTTATTCAACTGTGTAAATGGGCTTATTTTATAGGCCTATTTGTAATCTTTTGTTCTGGTCATTAAATCATGTTCATTCACATTTGCTTTTCTCCCCTGCGAAGCTCCCTCCACATCTGGCACTGGATCGGGACATGGCAGTGTTGATGAGCTAGACAATGATGCTAGTACAAGTAAACAACAAGGCAAGCAAGCCAAACATAAGGTCAAGAAGAAGAGTACAGATTGAATATGAAATCATTGTATTAAGTTTTTAGCAGTGGATATTTACATTAGCCCATGGAGGAAGGAAAACAGTTTTGCAACATTCACCAAATCCTATTCTGCCGACGTGAAATTTTGGACGTTTTTCTTTAAAAAATCTGTCAAAGTCACAAATCAGAAAAAGGTTAAGCCTACACACTATTTTTTAAGAGTTGAGGACAATATTTAGAAAGAAAAATAATTTAAAAAAAAAGCTTGAAAAGGAGGTTTCAAACCTACAAGGGGGTTTGAGTGTCAAGATCTCCATATACCTGTTCTATCCATTGCACCACCATGACCACTATCGCAGCTTCACAAATGACAAATTCAGGAAGTAAGCTTTAAAGGCTTCTTGTGCATCAGGGCACTGTCTATGCATATGCCAGGAGGTAAGCATTTTGTTGAATGTTGCCAGGCAATAGCCGAATAATACACTTACTAAATTTTAATTCATGCAAATATGTAGCACTGTAGCAATTTTGATAATTATCTTTCCTCATGTTGGTTCCAAGAATCCAGTGAACCATACTTGCTGTTAAGTGAATTTCTTTGTAGGTTTATGTACATAAACACATAAAAAACAAAGTACATGTCAATTTTTCCTGTACCAGTACTTATTATACGCGTTGTTCCTTCGCCCTTTTCAGCAACCTCAGCAACTACCACGGATGATCCCAATAAAGAAAGCAAGACCAAGAAAGAAGAAAAAAAGAAGACGGATAAGAAAGGTTGGTCAAATCTGAATGCTGTCTTTGATAAAATGGAAAAAGCAGAGCATTTTGACTTTATTTTGTTACTTACATACAAAGTACCTAGACGGATGCGGATAAGAATTATTAAAATAATTAGGAAATTTTTTTCTTCAAGGTTCATTTTCAAGGTTTTTTGCTGCAATGCCTCACTTTCAGTGAGATCATAACTAGTGTAAGAAGTTGGACCACGATAAATTCCTTCCTGTAGACAATCTAGACATTCAAAATCGAATCTGTCCATTTCCAAAATTTCAGACCCAATATCATGCTATAGTTGATGTTCATCAAGTGCACCTCAGTTGCTAATACATGTAGTTGAACTTTTTCTACATGGTCATTCATAATCAAAAAGTCATGAAGTGCCAAGAGAAATTGTTAAAATTTACTGTCTGCTTGTAAAGTAACAACTTAGTACAAGTAAGTTTGTGACTTTGAAACATTTTGTCCTTTCTCCACAGCAATGGAAAGACCCACAGCTAAGTTCACCAAGGAGGATGCCATAGGGAATGCTGCTTCCTACTTCACAGGGGTTCTTTCATCAATGAAGGATCATCCAATGTTTAACCTGGGGAATACCACAACTCTGCAAGCACTTGCCGTGATAACACAGCTGCTTTTATGCATTAATGAAGCGCCAGTCCAGGAATTTTGCACATCAGCCGTGACTGCTCTGTGGTTCATCTTGGAGAGTGATGACAGCATGCAATTGAAAGAGCAAGCATACATGAACATTTGGGTCAAGTACCACTGACTTACGGGTGAACTCTGTGCAAAGTGGGAGGAACTACTCTGGTCAATTAAAATTGAACAAAATGGGAAACACATATATACCTCATTTCAGTTTTATTACTTGGCGTGTTTCAAAATCTGATGGAGGTCAGGAACGCAAAGGACGCTCCCAAGATTGACGAGTCCACAAGAGAAAATTGTCTTGACAAAGAAAAGGAGAAAGTTCTCCGGTACATAGCTGGATATGTTCCCTTTGCCCTACTGAAAAAATTGAAAAAGTACAGCAACACAGCAGCTATTGCATTCTGTAAGTTCTTAAATTCCTGGGAAGTTGCAGGTTCTGGATACTCAAAAACCTTTCTAGACTAGAATTCTAGTCTAGAATACACACGGCAGTGGATAGGCACTCAGAATAGAGGGGGTCTCTTTAAAGTGTTAGTTGATGTCTATATCTTCTTTTGAGCTATTGAACTTGTAAGTAGAGTGTTTCTCACTCACAAAAATCTTGTTAAAATGCAAGGAGTGAACATCAAAGCTGTGCTTGCTAACAGGATGTTTACAAATAAACTTGTTCAGGACTATTGGAGCAACTTGATACGTGACAAACTGAATGCAGATTCCTCTAAAAAACTGTTTGACATGGTGGTGAATTTCTACATCAAGATTCGCTGCAAACCTTTCATTAAGGTGTATTTGAACATCAAGAAAATGAACTCAAAAAGCATCTCTAAGAAAGCAGAGAAAGCCCTGCGTAAAAACCTAGATGAAGACAAAGAGAAGTGAGAAGTTTCAGTAACAACCTCAAGTATTCATACACTTTGGTACTGCTTGAACAGTGAAATTAATGTTATTAATGTTAGCAACTTTACTATATACATGTACATGTATGTACAAAAGTGCTATGAATTCCAACAGCACAGACTCTCATTATCTGGATTACACTATTTACTCTGAAATGTACCTATACAGACGAATACATTTTGTCAAAGCATAATACCTGTACTTCTTAAAATGGACCTGCTTCCAAGCCTTCCAAATATCCTTTCTGAGTAGAAGCAGCCCGTCAGCAGCCTTTACATTAAGTGATCCCTGGAATTTAAATAAAAATCCTTCAGAAAAATAAAAGGATGGGCATGGCTGTTTATTTGAATATTGTGTAATTTCACAGCATTCAAATTAACCTTTCGAAATTCCATAATTTGTATGCTTGAGCCCCTGCACATGTAATTTTTAGAGCGACATGTCCAGCTTCCCTGTACAAAAACCATATGTACTGTTTTCTCGACATTAGTCAATTTCTGCTAGAATTCACTACAGCCTTTGTTTAACTTCAGTTGGCCAAATGGGCTATTCCTGGATACACAATATGCAAGTCAACAAGATGTTCTGCAAGCCACTGATTCCAACCACAGAACCTGTCTAAGGGGGTTGGGCTGACTAGCAACAGGCGATAGGTAAATTATTAAAAATGTCAGTGACATGACAAAAATAGCCTATTTTCTTCAATAGTTCCCAGATAATGGAAACGGTAGGCAATTTGCTTTCTATTGCTCAGGTCGATTACTTTGGCCTCAAATGACTTTGAAGTCTCGACCAACTCATGGACCTAACTTATGAGTTTGATGACTACTTATGCTTGGGCCTTTTGGGAAGCTGTGTGCTGTCCAGAACTGGCTTTCCAGTGTCAACAGGTCGGACATTGGCTTTCCGTGAAGCCTTCAGACACTTCGAAGCAACATAGAAGGAAAACATGTTGTAACCCACTTGCTCCACTGTTGGATTATCGCTGCAGCCTCCTGCCCCTCGGTGCTTAGAAAAGTGCATCTCGAGAGGGTCCTGATTAAACTTTTCACTCAGCAAGTAGTCCACACCAGGAGACTGAAGGAGCAGTTGGGCGAGTTTCAGGAAAGAATTCACTGAAAGAAAAATCAATTGAAAAACGCAAATGAAGTTGTAATATTGTGCATTTAAAACGCATTTTGGAAATTAGGGGATAAAGGGATACAAATTTTTCATTCTTACACATGCACCAACTGTAGCTCAAGGCATAAATGATGTACTTTCCCGTGACATTTTGCATTCCTTTCAAACAGCTTTTGAAACAGGAGGGAATCCCCATTTGGGGTGATGTGAAGAATGATTTTGCACAGCAATTTGTCTTTTTTCCTGTCCCTTGTTTCTAATAAAACTAAATATATTTTGAGCAAGTCACTTTTAAATGCTTGAAATCAGTTAATGCAGTTTTTACTAGTTTCAGAAATTATACAAATGTATTCTGTTACTATTGATGGAATAATATGACGAATGCTTCATCAACCAATACAATTCCATTATGCAAAGTAACCCCTGTTAGTACACCAACCGGTTATGTTGATGCCCTCTAACGTCTCTCTACTCAGGCACATATTGGACCTCGTCTTGGGATCTAGATGAGGATTGCTGGCCAGCTCCTGTTGCCACTCCTTCAAGAAGCCAACAAAATCCTTCTGAAGCCACTGGTTGTAAATAAATCAGGATTGATTGTCAGTGCCCATTCTGATTATGTCTAAATGCTATACAAGAAATGGGCAGTTTGGCATGCAATTTGGATGCAAAAGCTTATACAATTAATGTGTGATTTAATTTCGAGCATTACTCTTAAATGCGTCATAGCTTCCCCACCTCTGTAAGCACTATCAATAAAAATGCTGGCTGCAGTAGAATGAAGCCTTGGCTCTGACCACTTGCCATGAATTTCAAAATGGGTCATTAGACATGTACATGTATTTACATTCAGGCAGAGTTAAAAGGGAAAATGCAGTGTTTCTCCATCACAGATTGAAGGAAAAAAGATTGCAATCAGGTTATCCAGTGAAATCTAACTATTAAAATCAAATATTTTCTTATAATACATGTACCTCAAAGCGCCAATCGTCCGAGGACCTATATGGTTCAAGAGCTGGTTTACGTTTGAAAGCACCATCGTGGGGGTTAGACACATTGAGACAATCGAAGAACTTGTCAAAGTAGGAGATGAACATCTCTGCTGATCTTGTGTCATGCTTTCCGTGTGCCTTCATAGCGTTTGCAACACTGGTGCTGAGAACCTGTCCAAAAATGGATAAAATGTATGATTCAGCATGGATTGGAGGAAGGAAACCTCCATGGATTCAGTGAAGCCTGAAAAACCGAAATTCGTCTTTGCCCCCCCAAAAAAAAAAATGTTAAAAAAATTTTTTAAGTTGGCTTCTGGAACAATTAAACTCTGATTCCACTGTTGAAAATGATTACCAAAAATCATCACGATTGTTCTTTATTTGCTCTAAAGATGGGTAAATGTAGCTCTCTCTCTTGTTTAATCAACATGCAAAGAGAATTTCTATTGGTACCTGGACAGCCATGTACACCTGCATTCTCAGGGCAGGAGTGAGGTGAAGATGCTCATATGTCAGTTTGTGTAAACATCGAAGACCGGGAGATGTACGCTCAAGCCCCACATCCCACTCGTACAGAGACAGCAGCTGCGTCCATATGTCTTGGCCTTTGAGCTGTGGAAAGTAAATGGACAAAAGTTTTGCCAAGATATAAAAAATGACAAAGTATGAGGAACAATTGCATTATGAATGAAATATGGCAACACTATTTTTATTCTTTGGTTTACATATTTTTTCTAAAAAACTGAATTTGTGAGGAGTGGAAAAATATGAAAATAAAATGGCCCAACTCTACGGGATGCCCATTCACTGTTGCATAGCCATGTGCTCTGATTTTAACTTCCACATCCAAGATGGGACCCCAGGTGAGCCTACCCGCAAGTAAACAATTAGCATGTACTCATGTATGGTAAAGCTCAGCAAAGTGCATGTACGTTCAAATTCTGTTTTTTTTTATTTTCAGAAAATAATCAAGTTGAAGATACAAATACAGTATTGTTCTTTTATTTTCTCTGACAATGTTTTTGACAGTCTAGGCCAAAGTGGAGGGGGAAAAAATAATAAAATTGGTTGAAAAATCTCATTTTATTATTTTTCTGTTTCTGCAAAATTCAACATCGAAGGCGTCCGTAAACCAAGAATAAAAAATGCGGCATAAAGGTAGTACTTCTATTCAATACAGAGATTTTACAAAGGAGATTAATATCTGCAGATCCTGCCAATTCTAATACTCTTCACTTTTCTGTGTCAATTTTTTTTCATGGGGTTGGTTCCATTGTCATTTGATACATTTACATAATGTTCAATGAACTCTTAATTAACTACATTTTCCCTTGTTGACGCATGAATTTTCATAATTGTATAGTATGTAATCTACTTACATGCAGATGACGAGTCTTTTTGTGGTACCCAGAATTTTCGAGGTTGTTACGGGTGGTCTTTAACAGGTGAGGTACGTTGCAGAAGAAGTACATGTGTCTTGACGGTTCTGCTGGACTTCGCGTACAATGAACAATACTGCTGTTGTTATCCGCGTCCCTGTTCATCCGGTAATATTTTCTGTTGGGGAGGCACCATCACGCACGAAGGCCCGTACAACAAATCCAGCATTCTCAAGTAACACGATGGCCTCAAGTAGACTAGGATACAGCTGGTGACTGGAAATGCCAACACTAGGGTAGTATCCCACAGGTGCATGAAGGCCAGTGAAAATTCCCCTCGCCATCAAGACCAGCACGTGTGTCGCAATGGGAATTTCCTTCTCTCCCTTGCACCTTCGCTCAAATGCGAGGACCTCGTTTCCGATGCTTCCCACATCTACCGCTCCGACAACATTACCTGTGCTCTGTGAATAAACCAAGCCTGACTTTAATTTTCGTTTTATCAAACAAGACAGAAATATCTCGATGATGGTCGGGCATGTCCTGTGAGATGTGGTCTTCCATGATTCTCTTCACCAGATCGCTGTTGAAGCCTGAAGTTGGAGTTGCGAAGTGGCTGTATGGATGCAGCGTTGTAGGGTGAGGCAGCCGCAGGAACCCAGTATCCCTCATGAGATTATATGCAGATGAAGACTTGCTGTGTAGGGCGATACAAAAGCATATCACAGCAGGCATGGCAGGATGCCATCGCATCGCCTTCCCTTTCTTGATTGATTCTTGGTGTTGTGCCTACAACAGAGATGCGGGGGATGAAGATTTTATCTCGACAGTAGCTGTAGCACACTCCTGAAAGGCATTTTGCAGGGCAAAATCTTGGTTTGGAGTAAGCTGGACGCTCTCTGCTTCGATGATTTGTGAAATCTTGTTGCCAAGTATTCGGTTCCTCTTCGTAAGGGCTCGCTTTTGCGCCTGCAGGAGCGATGCTTTTGCTCGAAGCTGAACCGAGCTGAGTCTGTCATTCCGAGTTGTGCTGGGAGCACGACAGACAACTGGAGACTTTGATCTCTTTACTCGACCTGTAAGTGAAGACAGATCTCCCCTGTGCAGTTTGCACAGATCACATCTACTCTACGGCTTCAGTGTCAGAAGACTGCACATCTCATGGCGGATGGTTGGGAACAGATATGTCTGATAGACATCTCTTCCGGTTACAGTGACGGGAATTTGCCCATGCTCTCCCTCTTTTGACTTGACTAACTCGGTAAAATCTCCATTCCCCACGCACACATTCAATGATTCCATACCATCTATTAGGGTGACGAAGGAATCAAAATTCAAAACATCTGGCAGTTGATGGAGATGATGAGGTCTGGAAGCCATTTTCACCTCACATACCGAAACTTCCCATGAACAATTAGGATGAATGGAGATGCAAATCTCTGGATGGCCATTGGATGCGAAACGCATTACCAAGATATTGCTTGGCCCTTTCCAAACAATCCAGCCAAGCGATGCAGCATGTGCGCTCCATGTTGAGAAGTCAAGATGTGTTTGGGCTTCTTCTTGGCCAATAGACTTGCAGACTTTGCATGCCTGATGCCTCTGAAAGTGTGAAGAGCTATTTTACATGTAGCCACCTTCTTCTTCTTCGAACGAGACCACCATTGCTGCAACTTCTTGTAGCACCCATGGCAAATATATGGGGGATGGGTTAAGTCATCATCCAGACTAATATCTACACCAAGGGCTGGCAATACCATCCAGCCATACTTCTCCTTAGAATGAGCGTTTCGGCCTTTCTGCACGGCCCAAGCTGGCCACACAAGCGGCACAAATCTTGCAGGCACTGTGAAGCCATCAGTTGTACATGTACATATCTGTGCTGCCCAAATCGATCAAAACACACGAGAAAAAAAGACGTAATTTTGCTTCACTGTCGCTCCAAAATTATTTCGGCGATGGAACACCACGAACAAGCATGACAAGACCTACAGGAGACAAAGTGAAAAAAAAATTGTAAAGCCATTCTCGCAATCTGAAAATTTGTGTCAAAAGCAGCGGTACTTTGAAAAAACATTGGAGTATTCAAACTACCATGCAGCATGCATGGAAGAATGGCCAAGGTAAGTTCATCCAGCTGACCTGTAATTTAAATTACAAATTTTTGGTAAATTTGGTTTATGTTTTCTATATTTATGTTAATTGTGACCAGATGCAATCGATAAACAATACATGTATGTTACAAAATCACAGGCACATTATTCATATTATTGTAGCTTGGCCTAATATAATATTTCTGTTTGTGTGCCGGGCCTTGCGCTTACTTGAAAAGGGAATTTAGGACCAACTACATGTAAATGTGCTTAACGTTATACACATTTTCTTACAATTACATGTAGGCCCTCTATGACTTTTTTTTGATGCAGAGTCTGTAGCATCTCTTCATCAGGTTCATTTTTCCCCAGCTTCATAAGGTATAAATTTTTCCACTGGCTATTGTGGTGTTATCAAGTTGCAACTTCAATTTTCTTTCCATATTTCTCATGATTTCTTCATAACGAATTTTATTTCTTCCGGTGTATAGGCCTATAGTATACAAAAAATATTTAAGATCTGGACAAATTATTTGGATTTCATTTTCAATTTAATACGTTAACAATCATGAAAAGTTGGATGATGATTGCTTCTCATTTGTCATCAATATAAATAACATCGGCGGAAACACTGGGAGCCTAAAAGAAAACAAAATCAAAACAAAAAAAATACAACTTTTTGATCAATATTTTGACCAATTGTCCAGTACTGGCCAGCCAAAAAACATGTGGTCTGCACTGACTTTTTGTCAACATTTTAGTCCATTTTTCAACCGTAGGAAATGGTCGGAAAGCAGTTTTTTAAGAAAAATATTGTATGTATGAATTTTTTATTTCATAGGTTTCGTATTGAACGGGAAAAGTGCATGTCTTACCGAATTTTTGTCCAATTTTCTTGAGCGAAACATCAACCGACACGAAAATCCGCACTGATTCTCATGGGTTTCCTTGCGCTTGCACAGGGGCTATGGAGAACAACTGCGCATGCGAAAAGCATATTTGTTGGCCCCTGTAATCTTTACTCCAGTGAAGAATTTCGCTGCAAGTTCTATAACCGTGTACGTTGGTTACCAGCGAACTGCGGCAACCATCATTTTGCACAAAGAGCAGTTGCGGTGGTAAAACCTGATGACCGCAGCGGGAGGCCTCCGCGCAAAGTCTACGGGCCCAGCCAGGCCGTAATGAGGTGGTCATTGATTGCACTGATAACAGAACTCCGTTCTATCTCCTTCTGTTTTCTTTCCTCCTTGTTAGAACAAAAGGGCTCGTGCTGTAAAGAGAAAACTTGCTTAAACTTTCCTATAATATCTAATGTATATTAAACCACAAGTTTCCTCAAAGTTATTCTATACATTATTTCTGAAACAGTGATAACAAATAGATGCAACATACCTGTAAAAATGACACAGCAAAGTGGACACTGGCTGAGTGGTGTAGGAGTCAATGTTCATGTGCTCACTGGTCAAAGCATGGAGTCAGAATGACCCCAGAACAAAGGATCTCACACAACCCTACAGTGGCCCACAGGAAGTTGCATCATTTTCACCATGAAGTCCTTCAACAGTTCCCTGTCATCACATGTGGTTTACATTAAATTAAATGTTGTCCTCAATATTTCTATGCAAACAGATGACGACTACAAGACATACTTTACAATTACATAGGATCAAAATCAGTTCAAAGAGTCTCTATGAAGATCCCTCCTGTCTAAATATAGTTAGCGGTGGACCGGGATGGTAGGGTGCTGTTGACACGGTAGCCTCGGCATCTGCTGGTTAGGCCATATCAGCATTGGGGATGGCATCCACAGCATCGAGTAAGAGGCCCAAGGCATAGGGACTGCAGATGGTGACATGGTTACCTAAGGCCAGGACATTGGAGGCTGAGGACCGGGCTGGCTCGTCGTTCTCACTTCATTGACTCCGTTGTCAGTGTGAGGTTGACCCAACATCTCATAGCCCCATCGTTGAGGAAGTTGTCTCTGTCTCGCTAGGTAGGGTCGTTCCTCTGGGGGGTGCTCAGGTACATGATCTGCAGCATACGCATCTGCACCATCTGCACCATCTTGCTCGGTTGTAGTTGTTCAGCGGCTCCTGGACCCGGGTCGAGTGGTGGGACTGCAACATCAACTTCATGTCCAGCAATTTTGATCGGGCTCTGGGGCAGGTCCTGGGGAAACTGCCCTGGGAACAGTAGCTGGCTCAGGAACAGGTGTATGAGCCGCTCTTTCAGGGACTGCAACTGGGTCAGGCTCAGAAACAGGGGCTGGGATGTTGGCTCATGTAGGTGTGCCTGTAGCGTCAGTCCTCTGGAGATCTCCTGGAATATACTCTTTGGCTGCATAGTTCAACAGCGAGGCTGGTTTCAGGGACTGATGCAGCTCCACCAGAATCTCCTCATCTGAGCTTTTGTGGTCAGGGTCACTTTGCTCCTGGATTTCTGGGTCAGTGTTGCCTCGTTTTTGTCGCCGGTCTTTTCCACGTGTGGGGTGAGCTTGTTGTGTTTGAAGGCGTGACATTGCTGGGTCTCCCCTGCATAGGTTATTACAGGGTGACAACAAGTTCCTGTGGAGGGTGCGGATTCTTCCTCTTCCACCCTCTTGTCGCACTTCGTACACAGGAGAATCATCTCTCATCCGTCTTACCACAGTGTAAACTTCATTCTCCCAGTACACTCGCAGTTTTCCGGAACCCCCATTCTCATTGAGATTTCTCGCCAGTACCCTATCGCCAGGCTGTAAGACAGTGCTTTGTGTCTTCTTGTCGTAGTGGTTCTTACCAC